ATTAATAACGTCGACTTATAGGGATACGACGCGAAGAAGCGGAAATATAACCACCTAAATATTAGCGATAGGGATCTTTTCCGTATTTTAACGAGCAGACTAATTCCCTTTATATATCACGTTAGGGGTAACCACTTTATTAGCCTAATGTTAGATTAAGAGACTTAGGTAATATATATATACGATAGTATATAGCTCGACGGCGGGGTCGAGAAGCGCCTACTAAAAAGCTTCCGAGGAGTTATAAGTTAGCTACGGTATATCAAGGCGCCCGAGGAGGCTATAGACAGCTTAACCAGGAAGTTCTATATTATCTTTAGTCCTTAGCAGAAAGATACGCACTCGTGTAGTCTATGTATCAGTAAATAGATTCGGTCTATTATGTAAGAAGGTTATTTATTTCCTGTATCCTCCAGGCTATATCGACTACAGAATAAACGCTATTATACCACCGATAACGCCAGTTATACATAGTATATCCGGTATAGTTAGTTAAGCTATATAAGCGAACTCTTCGGCTTCGGCTATTAGTCTAAGTTAGCTTTTAAGTAGCCTACTCTAACCCCTAATCCAGCTCTTATCTCCGCCCCTATTACCGCTCCTATCACGACCCCTCTCTATAATCCGCCTAAGATAACGGGTTTTAAGCCTATTAATAAGAACTGGACGCCCGTTAACCCGCCTAAAGGGTCGAAGACGCTAAAGACGCCGAAGACGCCTAAGGCGCCTAAGACCCCTTAAACGATAAAGCAGAGGTCCCCTTCCCCTAATCAGGGACTAACTAAAGTCCCGGCGTTTAATAATAATAATAGCGGCGCGTTCCTAGAGCTAGGTAACTTTAAGCTTACCACCCCTAGGCATAAGAAGGCCATTAAGGAAAACACGCCCCTAGCTACCGAACCTTCTCCTATTAAGATACCGCCTAAGTCTCTTAAAGCCTAAGCCCCTACCGGTTCCCCTAATTAGAAGAAGACTAAGCTAAAGAAGTAGCCGTAGCTCGCCCCTATTAAGATTAGCTCGGCCACTAGCTACTACGCGTATAAGGGAGAGGACCTTATTAATTTTACCGTAAGGACCGATATACAGAGTAAGTAGGAGAAGGATTAGGCGTACTAAGGCCGTGGTCTAGAGATATCTCGTAGCCTACTATTTTATAGGTTAATCGAGATAAGGAACGTGCCCTTTAGACCGAGTAACTATAGCCGGGAGGATTAGGTCTAATCGTTTAATAACCCCTATAAAGCCGCCTTATAGGATACTGCTACTAATAGTAGTAAGTATCTCCCGCTATCACAAGTAGTAGAGTAAGGAGGCTAGCGTTATTATAATACCGCTATTAAGTGAAAGGCAGATAAAGCTACTGCTAATTAGGAGGCTAAAAAGGCTAATAAGCCGGACTACGTAGTCGGAGGAAGGACTTTACGAAAGCGTAAGTAAAGGTGTATATAGAGGATTAGATAAGGGACGTTTTAAGGGTATAGCCGATAAAGATAGTAAGGGAATAGTATATCCGGAGGAACTAGAACTAAGAGGATCTCTAACTAGGTATACGAGGAGGACGGGGTAATCAGAGGAATAAGGGTATACAATAGCTCTTTACTTAGTTTATTTACTTATATCTGCTTGTTTTTAGGAGTTATGTACGCTATAAGGGCGTAAACGAGATGACTGTTCCGTATTATAACCGCGCAGATACGGTGTTGGAGTGGTTCTAATAGTCGGTCACGTGACCCCCTTTTTAAGGCTACGGGATCCACCTCCTATATATATATTAAGGACAGGCGCCGGACATCCCTATCAAGGGACTATCATACAATAATCATCCTCTTTTACAATTACTTATTCTATATTTAAGGTATCTTTCTAGTTCAACTTACGTTACCCTGATCAGAATAGTGATTACCGATCTACTTCTTCGCTAAAGATTATAGTGGTATTAGTTATATTTTGGTTATATATCGTGGTTTTACTGCGCTAACCTCTTTATCTGATCTTTATCTTAACGATCTAGTGCCACTACGTCTTTATCCAGTTACAGTAGCCGCCTTTACCCCCTCTTACCCACCACCCACGGATAGCGTTAAAGGATAAAAAGACGGCGGCGTCTTCGCCTTCTACTACTTCTTCTTCTTCTTCCCTAATAAAGGAGTCGAGGGCGTTAAAGCCTTCTTCCCCTTTTTTACTAATATGGTCGGTACCACGTCGTTATCGTTAGGCACTTTATAAGGATCCGGCGGACCCTACAGACCTTACGGTATTATAACTCCTAATAGTAAGCCTTAAGGTTACGTAGAACCACCGCTACTAAATATATTATCACCTATAAAGCTAACCCCCGCGGGGGCTAAGGTAGACCCTAAGAGTATAGGTAAGTCTTCCTAGGCCTAAGCCTAGGCCAGGTTAAGAGTAGCTATCTACTCGAAAGCAGCGGCCGTATATTCCTAGGCTGTAAGGTCGCGCTAATATAATACTAGGCGTTATTACTCGATATTAAGCCGTTACTGCTTAACGGTAAGACGCTACTACTATAGCCTAACGAACTACTTAAGGATCGACTCTATACTATTAAGCCTCTCGTGGATATCTTCCGCCGTTTTCTGGCGGGCATTAGTAACTTCCTTAGCTTAACGCCGAGTAGTTATAGCTTCCTCGGTAAATAACCGGTTAACCTCTAGCGTCACCTAACCTAGAGGCTCTTTAAGGATAACCTAGTATCGAACTACTATAGCCTAGTACCGTATAGGATTAGTAAGGGTACTATACAGGATTAATAAAGGAATACGGTTAATAACACTTACACGACGACTCTTATTTAGGCTACCCTTCTCGATAGCGATAACTAAGACCTTTTACAGCTACTCGGCAGCGTTCTTACCGGTAATAGGGAGCTATTATAGATATTAGAAAAACAGGCCCACGGAGTAGTCTATAAAGGGAGAGACTATAGCCCTAAGGATATATAACTTACTACGCGGTATTTAAGGCTATTATACTTAGAGTAGTAGTGGTATTTATTTATACGCCGACCGTTATCGGCGTAACGGTATATCTCGGCCTTAATAGTATACGCCTTTTCCTTAAAGTTAATCGTTACTAACTTACCCATATAACGTATATAGGGGGCCCTTAGATCCCCGTCTATACCGATATCCACTACTTCTTAGCGTGGAGTAACTAATAGCGTAGTAGTTAACGACGACGTAGCCGTAGTAGGAGTAGGAGGCTTTAGCGTAGCTGGTTACGAGGCTAACTACTTAGCGGACTACGAGGTTAACGCCGTAACTATAATCTTAATCCTCTTAAAGGACCGCGTTATACTCGCGGGAGTAGCGACGCGCTTATTATTATTATTATCTTCCTAGGAAGGTATAGTGACTACACTATATGACGTGGTTAGCTAGTATTATAGACCTAAGATAGGTTAGAAGTATTTATAAGATAGTAGTTAGTTAATTAATTAATTAATTAAGACTATAAATCGTTAGCACGCGGTATCCTGGATTAGGTAGAACTTACCGAAAGAGGCAGTATAATTAAAAGATTAAGTATAAAAGAGGAAGAAAGGAATAGGAAGAGGGAATAACGGCAGGTTATAAGATATCCCTAAAGTAGTTATATAGGCACCTATTTTTTTAGTATAAAGAAGGAAGCTACGAAATTCACGGAAGAAGTAATAACAGGCCCTATATACTACTAGCTTCGGGAGTCTTTATAGATAGATTAAAGGAATAACCTAGGAGGATAAAGGGGTTGATTTAACGGCCTAGAAAGGAACCTCCCTAGAACCCCTTAGGTTCCTAGTAAGGGCACGGCTATAGGTGAATCGATAGGACTCGGCCGGCTATAGGCGCCGGATTAGGAAGTATAAAAGGGAGTGGCCCTTATTAGTAACCTTAGTTAATAGATAAAAGGAGAGAGGGTATACCTAGATTAGCGCTACGGCTAAAAGGGCACTAGGCGGGAACCTGTTAGGGTCCCGTCGTGGAGGGCTCTAGTTCGGGGCATTAAAGGATTTAGGATTTAGGAACGGACTCGGAGGCTAGGTTTCGGAGGAGCCAAGAGGCCGTCACGGATTAGGCGCTCCTAAGGACAGGAGTATCCGGGGGAGGTCGCTATATTAGGTGCCTATAATAGTAGTTATAATAGGTCCCTAGTATAAATATATAGGGGTTTAGGCGTGCCTAGTCTAAGCCCCCTTAAGGCATAAATAAAGCAGTTATTATATAGTAAATAGAATAGTCCCTCGAAGTAAATAAGGTAGCCCTTAAGGAAGTACATAAGCAGTCCTCGGGGAGTAGCGGGACGTAGTCTTAAGGAGCGGAGGAGCCTCCCCTTTAAAGAGGGAGGCCAGCGATTAATCTAATCCTTTAGCTATACCCACATTCTAACCCTATTATGATCCTATTATAATCACACCTGGTTCCTTACTTAACCCTACCTTTTCACTCTTTGCGACTACCTATTTGATAAGGAGCTCCTCTAGAGCGTCCCTGCGATAGGATTAAACGGGCGGCGATTAACCTAATCGGACTAATCAGAAGCCAGGGATTAAGATCAAATTAAACGATTAAAAGGATCGGTTTAAGAGCGTTTTTAAGAGCCTTTTCGAGGACTATTTCTAAAATAGACTATTGTCACGATAAAAAGGATTAAGAGCTATTCGGTTTAAACCGAGGCCTCTAATTAGCCAGTCGGCCCGGAAAAGTGGATCCGCTCTAGCTAGGGGGGTATATCGTATTAGCATAAGTCTCGGGGGTAGGTATAGGCCTCGGGGGTGGAAATAACAAGGGTGGACCCACGGTAAAATACCGGATAGGATCTAAATGGAGTAGTACTTCCGGAGGAGTACTGCCCCTTATAAAAATAGGGTAAGCGGTCTCGCACACGTTATAACTTGACACAATACACACATGCGAAGATTTCCCCCAAGTCAGAAGAGTGCATTTTGACGTGCGATATTATCCTGATAATCTCTTTTCCTTTCTTCACACACACACAATATGCTATGCCCCATTTATTCTGGCGAGTGCCAAACAAACCTGAATAAGTGGGGCATGGCACGGGTACTTGTTTTGTAACCCACTTCACACGGAGTACTCCGTACGGATACAGTCTACGGATAGGAAATCATCAGACGGTTGTTACCCTATAGGGAATGGGTTGAGTAGGTAATTAGTACCTTCCTAACATTGCACCAAACAATGCTAATTTTTTGTTGCGGGCCTCACGAAACGACACCAGTTTCTCGTCTCGCCAATACGCCTCTCCAAAACCCCTCTTCCGTCAAGCACCACCTCCTTAACATCTTATTTTTAAAGGACCAAGCAGCAAATTCTTTTCTATGTCTGTTACTGGTACATCAGAGAAATCCATATTCCCGGACAATTCTTCAGATATTTGAGACTTACAAGCGCCATTAAAAATTCCATTCCAATCTCCCTTCAAGGCGTTTGGGTTTCGATAACGCGCAGCGCTATCGAGTGCGTTTTCACCGAGGTTGGCGGACCAACATTATCGTCAACACACTTTCAATACCACCAAGTTGGCTTCATTCGCCCCCGAAATCCGCTCCTTAACCCGTTCGCTCCGAGATCCCGGTTTCTGGGTCTACAGCGGAGTGGACAAGAAACCCCCTTAACTGGCCCCATCATCCACTGGCACATCGACACACATTTCTTCCTCCCCGAATACCCGTGACCAACCTACTTGGCGTCAATATCTGCTCCAGGCTCTTCCTCGACGCCGCCGAATTTGTGAAACCTGGCTACGTCACCGCACCCGGCACGGCGCACAGCTGTGGCGCCCTGTGCGCAGCGACGCGATATCTCCAACGCCTTGATCGAGTTTGGTCGGATCAAGTTATGGGAGCGGCAGATTAGCTACATCGCTGCAGGGCCCTTGGGTGTGGGTGCCTTTGTTCCACGCTTGACAGATATTCCGAGCTTGGGTGAACGACAACACACGACTTGCTGAGGCCCAGGTGCTTCTTCATCATGTCTGACCACGAGGAGACCGTCTCCGACATGGGCTTCAAGGCCCCTATTCCCGAACTTGACGATCATAGACATCAATCGCCGTCAACTCAACCTCCTGGACGTGTTCGCCGGGGCACATTCGATACTCTTTATGGTGCCCGCCTTTTAGGGCACGAAATGGGACATGGCAACGATGGAGCCAGTTCCCGTATTCGCGACATGGAAGAAGCGATCATTGATGACGGAGAGCAGTCGTCTGCTACACGACCTGGTCGGCGACCGACTGTTGAAACAGCCGGAGATCAGCGATCTATCTCTCCACCCAACTCCGTGAAAGCTTTCGCCGAAGCTCGCCGGCGTGAGCGGGAGATGTCCTTCTCGGAGCCAAAGTACGAGGACGGCGAGCTGCATCGCTCGCTCTCTATTACTAGTCGGCGTAGCCTTCGAAGCAACATTCACACGATCGAGGATGACGCAGCCAGTCTTGTGACCAACAAGACCGCCGAAGATGATGTTTGCTTTCCTCCCCCGGACAAAGGACGGGTGGATCAGTTGTGCATTGATTTCGATTATTTGGAGAACTTCATTCAGGCCGAAGCCGAAGCTAGAGCCTTCAGCAAGCAGGAGACTGTAGAGAAGAGCTTTTCCGATTTGAGGCCGCACCATCCCTCGGCCGCCCAAGATCGTGTCCGGCTGCCCACTGTCGACGGCGATATTCTGGACATGCCTTCTGATTCGTCCACGGTTCAAGAGGACAAGGACAAGGCCGGCATTACCGATGGCCAGGGAGCGTTGCCCCCACAGGCCCAGGCGCCGGCTGATAAGAATCGGTTTAGCTTCTTTTCCTCGGCGTGGGAGTCTACGATTCATTCGCAGGATTTCGGCTCCTTGGTGCTTCCAGGGGAGGATATCCGAGGGCTATTCGCCCTCCCGCCTGATGACGCTGATGGCGTCTGGTGGCTGAACGTCAACACTCCGACGAAAGAGGAGGTTCAAGGTATCTGCAAGGCGTTCGGAATCCATCCGCTCACCATTGAAGACATCAACACGCAGGAAGCTCGAGAGAAGATTGAGCTTTTCCCGTCGTACTATTTCGCGTGTTTCCGCTCCTTCAGTACGATTGAAGAAGAAGACGGTCCCGAATACGAACCGTTCAATATCTATGTCGTCGTCTTCCGCGAGGGTACACTGAGCTTCAGCTTCCAGCCGAACGGCCATGCGTCGCACGTCAGGAAAAGGATTGCTCTCCTGAAGGACTACGTAGCCCTGAGCAGCGACTGGATCTGCTACGCCTTGATGTGAGTAGCATACAAGCGACCCACCTCCCCCCCGGGCTAACAATGCAATGAAAGCGTTCGACTAACACAACTGTTCTCTGCTCTTCAAGTGACGACATCGTTGATTCATTCGCACCCATTATCAGACAAATTGAGCTCGAAGCGGATGCCATTGAGGATGGTGTCTTCCTTATTCGAGAAGACGACTCGAATGCCTTCCTCAAGTCGATAGGCCGGACTCGAAAGAACTGCATGGCACTGATGCGACTTCTGGGCGGAAAGGCCGATGTTCTTCGTGGCTTCACCAAGCGTTGCAATGAAAACTACAAAGTCACTCCTCGCATGGATATTGGTCTCTACCTCGGAGACATCCAGGATCACGTCGTCACTATGGTCACCAATCTGGGGCACTCGGACAAAATCCTTTCCCGATCGCACAGCAACTACCTCGCGCAGCTCTCTATCAGCAACATTATACAGGGTACAGATACAAACCGCGTTCTTAGCAAGATCACGTTCCTGGCATCGATTCTGGTTCCTATGAATTTGGTCAGTGGTCTTTTCGGGATGAACGTCCAAGTCCCCTTCGAAGGAGCCGATACCCTTGTTCCCTTCTTCATGATCTTCACCTCCTTGATCGTCTTTTGCATCATAACTTTAATTTGGGCACGAAAGGCCAAGTATATATAAACGCGATGAGCTAGCGAGGGGCCATGTCCTTCTTGGAGTGTTTAGGTTTTTCAAGTTGGCCAGTTGACGGAGCGGCTTTGTGTGGTTTTCGTTGGGCTACCGAATATAGACAGCAATAATTAAGGTGTCTTCTTTTTCTTGTTGACTGATGCAGTGCTTCTGCAGGCCACTGCTGGGTTATAAGACCGGCAACAATGCGTAAAGGTCTTCGGTCTTGACCATATATCATACTTTTGCACCAGTGGGTGAATGAGCACCTGAATCTCTGCTCCATCTGTTCAGGACCGCACTTCGGCAGCTCATACTAATCCACTGTGTGCCGATGCTCCAGATCGCCCCGTGTTGTCTATCCTTTACAACTGGGTCCCAAGAGTATTTCTATTCCCGACCAGTCGTAATTCGTAGATTTACTTCAAGATACGGTATGGGAAAAACCTCAACGGGAATACTGGAAGAAGCAAGGTCTACGCGGTCGGGCACGCAGATCCATGTTGTCTGCCTGTACCCTACCCACATACCGTGTAATCCCTAATGGCGAACTCTGAACCGGAGAAATTGGCCAGCGGGGAATATCAGAACCTGCATTCCTTGTCTTGCCCACGTCGGTATAATCGGGTGTCGGCCTCTCAGAGCAGTGAATCCAAGTTAGTCATATATTAGGATAGGGTAGCTTTGAATTCAACGCTTCAGTTCAGGATAATAATGCAGGAGTCAAAATCCCGCCATAACTGCATTGTCCAGTTCTAGTGGACGGCTAGCAAGGACCACTACTATAGTCGAGAAGAGGAGGGCGACTGGCAGACAGTCGTGCTTGAAACTTTGCGCCCCAGGAGTCATGCAACTTGTCAGAGCGTCTCTTCAGGAGAACGCAAAGTCTGAAGCGAGAATGTTGAGGCCGGTGGCCAGGACTTATAATCGACACGTACTACTGCGTTGATCCGGACCTTGCTATGTCGCTAAATCGCCCTAAGTCAAATGCGGTGTAGCTGCACCATGCGAACGTCCGAGTAGAATATACGGGCACCATACGAAGAAGCGTTTAGGTGGAGGAGAGGCAATATTACCTAACGTACCTAGGTGGTGTAGCCCCCAGGAACGAGGCCCGTCCACTAGTATCAGGGCCTGTGCAGCTCCGGTGGAGGCATGTGGGCCACCCAATCCCAAGCCCAGGTATTCATGTATGGATTTTCACTTTCTGACTTTGTGACGTTCCTGGAAGTTGGTATCTTCATAGCATTGATCCGAGACTGTTTTCTTTCGCGCAACTATATCCAACCCACTCCAGGAGAATAAAATCAGTTCTGAATCCGCGCATATAGGTAACTCATTAATTCATCATTCACACGCACCCACAAGCTGGACTCGAACTGACTGGACACAAAAAAAGGTCCATTGACCAAGATGGATTCCTCTCGACAAGCACTCGAAAATGCTGACTTGGAGAAGCTGAACGACAAGGATAAGCAGGAGCTTCGGCAGTTTCTCGCCAACGAGTCTCAAAGATCACAGATTCAATCACGTCAGTAACATCCATCCCAACCCCATGTTGTTCACTGGCGACGTGGCGTGGACGATAATCTCGATTACGCTTGCCCCCGAGCTAACTTGGGACACCACAGAAACCCATGCGCTCACCGAGGTCTGCTGGAAGAAATGTGTCACAGGAACGGTCCGGGGATCGAAACTGGACAGTGGCGAAGAGAAGTGTCTAGCCAATTGTGTGGACAGGTTCCTTGACGTCAATTTCTTGACGATGAAGCATTTGAACAACATGCGGTCGGCTTAAATTACGGTCACTTGTGTCCGGCACATTCACTGGAGTGCTGTATATCCACCCCATGTCCTTGTATAATACATTACAGCATCATCGCAGAAGAGGAGCAGGGATTCAAGTAATCTTGACGAGTGGAAACATCATCTCAATTGTCGTGCGGGTTGGAGCTCACAGTGGACCATGGTATGTTCAAGGTATTTCGTGACATTTACCCATCCTCAATGGTTGGCGACAAAAGTAGTGCCGAAATGTTCGCTGCATGGTTCCTCTCCTGTCTGATCCCCTTTTTGTTGGGCGCACACTTCTGGTGCTGCCACCCTAGAGTTCACAGAAAACATCAACCTTAAGACGCCGCATGCCCAATGTCGTTTTGTGACTGATGAATCCCATTCCCGAATTGTTCCAAAATATCATCGTTTAGACGAGGGCCAGTTTGGTGGCGGCAATGTCGAGAGCGTCGACATCGGGTGTAAGGCGAGCGTAAGCCTTCTTGGAGCCATCGGGACTAGGGGGTTGCAGGTTAGCAATTGGATTGACATCGAAGCACGCATGGTCGCACTACGCACCGAACCAGGGTGTTGATCTTGACAGTGTCGATATCATAGAGCTTCTTGAGAGCCTGCTTGATCTGGGCCTTGTTCGCCTTGACGTTGACAATGAATACGAGGGTGTTGTGCTCCTCGATCTTCTTCATCGCGCTCTCGGTGTTCAGGGGGTGGACGATGATCTTATGCTCGTCGAGACGGGGCTCGTGGGGAACCGACTTGCGGGGGTATTTGGGAGCCCTGGAGAGCTGGAGGGTCTTGGGACGATGGAAGCTGGTGGTGTACCGGACCTTGGTCTTCTTCTCGGAGTGGGACTAGAAAACGGGAAAAGGCTCGTCAGCACCGCAGAACGACATGAAGAGTATGTCGGGAGTCGCCAATGCGAGAAGTACTTACACCCTTAAGGGCAGCCTTCGCCGCAGCGTTGGCCTGCTTGGTGCCCTTAGGAGCCTTGGAGGCACCTCCTAGATGAGAGAGGAAGCATCAGCAATCGCTCAGTGAAGAACTCGCAAGGTCTGCTGTTGCATGATGCCCCTGAAACCCGGTACTCGAGATCGATTACGGGCCATTGTTGAGGGAGATTATATGTGAGGTCGACACCGAGCTCGGATGATTGCCTCTTGGATCATGTTGTACCTTTCTTTGCGTCCTTGGGAGCCATCTCGACGGATATTTGCCAGGGGATCTGGTCGTTGGTTGTCGTCAAGAGGATGAGAAATTGGCTGCCTTGTATCGGAGGTTGGACTTCTCTCTTTTTTTTTTGTCGTCTTATTTGGTTTTACCCTCAGTCGCCTTGGTGGAGAATTTTGTGGTCTGGCCGATTAGGGCCAGTGTGTTAACGACCCTCTAAAGTGCACGAGATCATTGGTTGAAACAGCCCCCGTTGTCCGAAGATAAGAAAGACACGAGGAGCGAGTACCACCTTTGTAATCACGTGACTATATTCGCCGAGTCCTAATCTAATCTCTTAATGCTCTGTACTACCTGAGCAACAAATCGAGGAGAGAACCATGACGACGCCGACAAGCGCATAAGTATTCCCCATGTCGATTTGCTACGTGGGATCGATGCCGTGAGCATCCTTCCCACCCGTCCTCGCGTCGATATAATGGGCAAGAAGAAACGCCTCCCGCAATCCCTATCCACTGGACGACCTCCAACAACTAGGCAAAGGCCATTGTCCATCTCAAGAAGGGAGACTCGGGCCCTCATCAATGCTCACCACACGCTCCAGAAGAAACGGCAACAAGCCCTAGCACGAAACGATGATGCGGCCGTATTGGCCATCGACGCTGAGATTGCCGCTCTGGGGGGGATTGAAGAATACCAGCGGGCTAGCCTCCAAGGGCAGAGAAGTGATCGTGGTGGTGATAGCTCACGGCTGCTTCTTAAATGGCTAGAGCCAGCTCGTGCTCGACTGACAGAGGCAACTTCTTCTTCTCGGCCATTTCGAATGCTAGAGGTCGGCGCTTTGAGCACAACGAATGCATGCTCGAGCAGTGGGCTCTTTCAAATGGAACTGATCGACCTCAATAGCCAAGAGCCCAGTATTCTCCAGCAGGACTTCATGGAACGGCCGCTGCCCGAGAGTGACGAGGAGAGATTCGACATCATCTCACTGAGTCTGGTTCTTAATTACGTGCCCGATGCCGCGTTGCGTGGCCAGATGCTGCTCCGAACCTTGGAATTTCTCCGTGAACCACCGCTAGAGTTGCGAGAAGACGAACAAAAGCTGTTCCCGTCCCTGTTTCTTGTCCTCCCGCGGAGCTGTGTCGCCAACTCGCGATACTGTTCCCTCGCCCGACTCACGGAGCTGATGTCGCTGCTCGGATATGTTCAGATTGAGAGCAAATTCACGAATAAGCTGGCGTATTTCCTCTGGAGGAGAGCGAGGACGCCGAGGGATCCACTTTCCCCTTTCCCCAAGAAAGAGGTCAATCCGGGAAGTAACCGGAACAATTTCTCTATCATTTTCAAAGTTACATGACACAGGAGCGAGAACTTGGATGAACACTGTTTGCTGGAAAATCTACATAGGTCGACCTCAGCGGCTCGACATAAAATTCACACCCTGATTGGCAGGCGGCTATGAACACGATTTCCACGACCCTGGAGCAGCCACCGGTCTCGAGAATATCACTTGTCAACCGGGGTTAAGAGATAATGCTTAGACGTCTTTTCCGAGATAGTTGCTGAATTCACCACAGGGATTCATATTCCGTCCTTATACAAAGCATCATTGTGAATTGCATACTTATGCCTAGTGCGATGAAGCTGGCATCAGAACATGTAATGCTTACTCCGTCTCATAACCTCTCGTTTGTTAAATTTCATGGCGATCCATCCCTTAATGCGGCCAGATCTCTGAAGTCCCGCACGGCATTCGCTGCTAATGGATCATCCTCTGGCAAAGGAGCGTTCCCCGGACGAACAACGGGGAGGCTTTGCATCCCAGCTTCCCGGGCGGCAGAAACCTCAGCGAGGTTGTCACTCAGGAAAAGCCACTCGTGGGGTTTGACATTCGGATGATGGGACATGATGATGGCGTAACTTCTGGACTCCGTCTTGGGACCAGCATTGACGGTGTCAAACCAGTCTGAGATGAGCGGAATAAGGCTCGAAGGAGAAGAGTCGGTGTGGCCAAAGAGAAGTTTCTGAGCAGGGACAGACCCCGAAGAGTAGATCATCACCTTCATCCCGGTCGTGACCCAAGCAGCCATAGTTGGCGCCACATCTGGGAAGAGTGGCGCCTTGATTTGTCCAGATTCGTACCCCCTTTTCCATAGATACCCTTGGAGGGCTTTCAAGTAGGGTGCCTTAACATCGCGATTGACGAGGTCAACGACGTGGGCTTCAAAGTCGGTCCTGGATGAGGCTGCTGGTTCAGGAAAGGCGTTGCGGTACGAAGCGAACTCAGGCGTGTCCCAGTTCTTGTCAAGGGTCTCAGGCAGCGCTTGCAGAGAATAGGGGAACTTTACCACTGGTTACTAGTCCAAGCGAGAAAGGCAGAAAAGAGCAGGCTGGGTATCGGGGCGAGTTTGGCGGGGGCAGAGGGGAGGCTATGTCGAGAGGGGGAGACGGGGGAAGGCGAAACAGTTTGGAGAGGGGAGAAGACAGAGGAGAGGTGACAAGGAACGAGTTAATGCAAAGGGATCATCCTTGTCACCTGGTGATTTTGTACGTACCAAAATGTCCTTCACAAAGGAGATAGGACATACAGTTCCCTCTGGAGAGAAATGGAGAAGCGAATTAGTCAATTAGTTGGACGTAAAGGTGCATTGCGATGTAACTGGTTCAGCCGAAAAGAACTACTCACCTATGTCTAGCAATACGACACGTACGCTTGCCAGCGGGGACGACATCTTAGTGATAGCTGGAAAAGACCCGGATCTTGAAGTGCTGGTAGGCCCCTTGGAACGTTGTTGGGCGGGCGGATGGCTGGTGATGCGGATTGCTGGCTGTGAAGTTGGCGAAGGCGGTGAGAAAGATACTTCCGCTCGGAGGCGGTCGGGTCCGAGACACCAACCCAGGCGAAGTCGTTACATCCACTTATATCGGGTCACGGTCACAGGACGGTTCTCCTGCAGGGTACCAAGGCACCTACAAAGTGTTCTAGATGACCTACCTGTCTGTAGGTATCCATACACCGTACTTCGTACGATGAAGTATTTCCAAGTAGGTACTCCATACTTCGTGGGAGAACGGAGCTACGGATATGTCCAAGACAGTACGAAGTACATTGTTTCGTATTTATTCACTGTGCACCTGGGATCAGCGGCCTGATAAACTGCTCAATTACCTTGAACTCCTAGGAACCCGTACGGACTCATAACACGTTGAAGCTGTCTGACTAGGTATCGAAGAGTGTCTCTTCCCCCCTCCCCTCCCCAGACGTATGAATCCGTTCTGGAACGCGTATGCACAAGTACCTAGGGCCGGTGGCAAAGTATAACGGCCATGACGGGCAGCCAAAGCCACGTATAAAGGACGTTTTATGGGACGGAAAAAGGGCAAGAGATCGAGCAGCCATTGGCGCGTCATCGTTGCAGCGTGTCTGTCATTGATTCGTGCTGTCCCAGAACGATAGGCCGTTGTGGAATTGGGCGCTCATGGCTCGCTGCAAAATCTACGAGGCGTGTACACTGTCATGCGATTGGTTCTAAGGCAAGCGAAGGACGACGTATGTACTACACTACATGTCCTGTGAAACTCTGTCTTCCACTGGTTGCCTACGAGACCTCGGTAGGTATGCGTAGTGTTGTTGTTGTAGTGTTGCCATCGACTTTGTTCCACCCCAATGGGATGAATTCTCCTTACAGTTCCAGATTGACGACTTCTGCATACCTACGTCGCACCCTAATTATCCGTACCCGTGGATTCATTCGCCACCATTATGCCCCTAGCTCTCCCTGCAGCGTACGATCCAGCAAGTCCAAGCCGAAGAAGCACGAAGTAGTTACGTGGTTGACTAGGATGACTATCACGGCATCTCGTGAGCATCTGTTCATTCCCTCTAAACTGGCGTGGCAGAGGATATATGGACTGTATACAACGTATTCAAGTGTTAGGCCTTTCAGTACTCGGTACGCTGCACTCCGTCATGCGGGTACAGACGTGATAACCCCTCGCAACCATCCTATCCAGCCAATAGATGTCAAGTAAACAGTGAGAGATAAGAGTCAAGTGAAACATGGCTAGGACGCACGCCTATGTGGAAAACCAGAGCCCGACTGAGAGTCTGCCCCTGTTTGAACGCTGTCGTGACCGTCGTAAAGTCGATTCTCTGCCAAACCACCGACGACTTGAGGTATTCTACGAGGCCCCCGTGCTCGTTCGCCCATCGCTGGAGGCCCAAGTTACAACAAGTCCGGATATGAGGTGCTACGTATGCTGTGGATACCTCTTCTGTACGGAATAGGGGTCCTTGATACGTACGATGCGCATTTGTACGAAGTCCGGCGACTCTATATTATTCCGCAGTAATAATACTCAGGTTCTCCTAATAAAGATAATAAGCTTGTTGTTATTGATGGTAGTCAATTGCCGTCGGACACCTGGCGGTGAGCAGCATCCCCCATTTGTCAAAATTCATCAGGTACCAAATCAGCTCGGGTATAAATATGCACGTAGAGAGGAATGTCATCGTGCGAAGTGATACTGTACGTGCCTCGATCATGTAATATAGACCACCTCAGTGTGTTGGCCTTCTCGTTGATTCAATGCAGTTACTTCGTACGCACTGTATTCCTACTCCCGTACATGCGATTGACTGACTACCTCCATACGTGTTGCTTTCCTTTGGCAGTCAAGGTACCCCATTCATTGCGTATATGCCAACTCCCTGCATGACCCATGCACCATCTCGAGGCCACCGCCTGTTCGTATGGAGCGCTGAGTGGTTCGTTCCAGGACTCATGGAAACTCATCGAGTCCCAAGGCAAAACTGGGCGGAAGCGGTGATGAGCGTGACCAACAGGATGCCGGGGCCCACCTCCAAGACCTCTAAGGATCTTCTCAGATTCGGCATGGTCACTGGTCGGTTTCGTGTCTACCTTAAGGTAGTTAGTCCCTGCATCCGTACCGGTACCGTACTCCGTATGGATACGATTTCAATACTCGGCCACTTCACTGGCGAGTCACTGGCTAGATAGGAGGAGACCGGGCCATTCGATCACGCGTGCGATGGCAAACGGACTGTGGAATCGCACGGCCCTCCACTGCCACCTGGCTTCAACGTAGCCCACCTCTCTCCACCTCCTTCAGCAAGACCACTATGGCCAAGATATGTCGAAATAATGTACCTATCCCATTCGAGTTTAGCCTGGGTGAGGTAGGTTCGATCCCCTGATCCCCGCCCTTCCCTGCCCACTCTGCTCGCTGTGTTCACTCCTCCCCCAGTGTCACCTCTCTCCTCCAGTTGCCTCCCTCCTTTTGTTTCTATCCGCCCACCGCCTTTCTCCTTCATGCTCCATTCATTTCAACCTCTCCTTCCTTGCCCCCCCCCCCAACCTGACTTTCGACTCTAATACCTTGCCTACCCAATTTGTCCGCCATTCCCTTCATCACCGCTTTCTTTCCTTGCGCTTTCTTCATCTCGCCCTTCCCCCTCCATTATCCTCTCCTTTATCCCGTTCCCTTCCCTATTTCATTCATTACTCCGCCGGCTCCGCTCTTATCTCACCACTCTCTCCTTATTCTGGAACCATCGAGAATCCGCGAGATAGACACGTAACCCCCGGTCGGCAGCCGAACCCGCCTCTAGCTTTCTGAGTCACGCATCAAAGCAAAGAGGACAACTCGGTACATATTCGACAACTTTCGCAATCCGGAACTCGAATTGCGGTCATCGAGTCAGCTCGTCCACCCGTTCCGCCGTTGACTCATCTGCTGGCCGCCGACTCTTTTGGCAGGTTCACCAAGCTCTATAACCAGTGCCTTCCTCCCAAGAACAGCTACAGCCTGTCGACTCCCCGGATTCTCATCCTCACCCCGAACTCTCGACACATCTCTTTCTTCCACCCTCACACACGCCGGATGCTACCAACATAGCCGCGGTGCCTTGGCCGACTGGATAGTCAGCTTGTCACCAAGCGATTACGTTGCGAGACCATACGGTCGGTGCCTCGTCACAGACTACGGACCCTCCAGCTCCAGCTCCAGCCTCGTGCCTTACATTACCATCTCCTACGACTACACTTGATCTCATACCAACAACCATCAAAACGTCTAAGCGGCTCCGTCACCCGTCGCTCTTTCTTCTTTTCATCGAATTCTTGCAACTCCATCGTTCCGGCATTCGTCATTTAGCAACATTTCTTTTCCATGTCAACATAACATAAAATAACGACTTATTTATTTCTTTTTCCGGACTCGCGTCCAAGCGCTTTCACGACATCCCACACGACCATCGCTTTATTTTCATTTGTACCACCGATCCACAAACACCTGAATGAGCCTCTGATACTTGAATGAAAGGGAGTTTTGTCCGCTTGCACTACTGGATCCTGCCCTTTGTATACTCACCTCTCGACTCGCTTTCTTCGTTTCAACTCTACTCGACTCTCATCTCTTGCGGCCTGTTCAACAACTTCGGAAGCTGATTGTCAGAACCTGTTTCTATCCCGCGTACTGCGACTGTTTCGAATAGTCTACTCCAGCCTCACACCGAAGGGCAAATCCAAACGAGACGAGTAGCGCCATACTTGTACCACCAACTTCGTTATTTCCCGTCATCTCAACTTTCTCCGATACCCCCTCAACTCACATCTTTACTGCTTGTCTCGACAATGACATGCCTACGGGACTACTTCCAGAGCGGCATTCTCCTCGACGGCCGCTACGAGACCATCTCTCCTCTCAATCATGGTTCCTTCGGCATGGTCTTCCTGGCGCGGGATATCCATACGGACGAGAAGGTTGCCATCAAGTGCCTGACCAAGAAGGCAGCTGCCGACGATGCCGGGTTCGACTTCGCCGTTGACGACAAATCGGAGGAGCAACTTTTCCATCAGCGCCTAGGATCCCACCCGAACATCGTCAACCTGCTCCACTCCTTCGAGACCGATTTCCACACCTATCTCGTTCTGGAGTATTGTTCTCGAGGCGATCTTTATGAGGCCATTCGGAACGGCCATGGCCCTTTGGAGACTGAGCACGTCCGCCAGTTCATGCTAGAACTCGTCGATGCTGTTGCGTATAGCCATGGCAAGGGTGTCTACCATCGAGACATTAAACCCGAAAACATCTTCCTTACCCAGTCCGGCTCTATGAAACTGGGTGATTTTGGGCTTGCCACCACCGACAATTGGACTCTGGAAACGACAGTCGGTAGTGACCGCTACATGTCTCCGGAGCAATATGACTCGGCCGGGGCCGGATACTCGCCTGCCCAAGCCGATATATGGGCTATTGGCATCTGCCTTCTCAACGTGCTCTTCTCTCGAAATCCTTTCACCACGCCGACCGAGGCGGACCCGCTCTTCCTCGACTTCTCGCGCGACAAACAATCGCTCTTCGACGTGTTCCCTTCCATGTCCCAGGACACGTACGAAGTCATCGTGCAGTGCATGAACTTGGACCCCCGGAAGCGTTCGCTTGTGGGAGCTCGTGCTGCACTCCTCCGTGTCGTCAGCTTCACCACGTCCGAGGAGGACATCGACGAATTCTGTTCAGTCGAGCAGCCCGTCGTCGCAAGTGCCAACCGCGAACCTCTGCGCACGCCCTCGATCCAGAGTCCTCAAATGGACCAATGCGCGTTCCCCTGGACCAAGGCTCTTCATGCCAGCCCCCCGCAGGCTATTCGCCAGCTGAGCGTGATTCCTGACAATGAGAGCTACTCGGAGGACTTGTTCTCCAAGTCGCAGGCCACGACTGGCTGGCTGTCGGCCTCTGCCGAGACCACCTCTATGTCCTCGACGCTTGATTCCAGGCTGGGGGCGTCGATGAAGTTCCTGGCTGGCGGTCGGCCCGGGATGGAAGCGACTAACGCATCTCCCAAGGTTTCGCTGACGGCTGGCTCTCTTCCGGTTGCTATGTCGTCCGCCCGCAACGCTATGTCGTCGACGTCTTTCGCACTTGGCCGGCTCAATGACATCGTGTCCAAGAGTTGGAGCGATATGTGGGATGAGGACATTGAGGAGGAAGAGGAAGCCCGCCGCCAGTTGGAGACGTTGAGAGAGATGAACTCGCGGACTTGGAGTCATGAGAGCGAAGCCGGGCCCCAGGAGCCAACTGCCAATTCCGACTGCATTTTGCCTCGGACTCGGAACGAGAACGACGTTGACGTCGACCTGGCAGATGGCTTCTTCTTCCAGGAGGCTCCACCTGCCAACAAGCCCATCTCCGCCACGCCTCGCTACTCTCCACCGCCCAAGCGCAGCCCCTTGGACAAATGGGTAGCGCTTGGGGAGCGACGTAGGGCTTTTGGAGCGTCGCCGGATTCGGCCAAGTCACCGGACTTGATCAAATCACGCTGCCAGCCTGGGTTTGGTTATAACTTTGTACACGGGACCAGTACTTGGGATAATGTCCATGGTCATGGTTTTCTCGGGAACAGTCACAAACTTCATCGGGAACGGAACACGGAGTGCCCATGGAACAGGGGCCGAGACTGGCATTACTGGCGCCGGGAGAAGCGCCACGTTGGAGACTTGGAGTGGGTTGGCGGGTGGCAAGAGTCGCATTCTTAGCCATCTGCCTTTTGTGGTTGGATTCTCTCCTTAAGAGGCTGGTAAACGCGCCTCATGATTTCAAGACGCCGAAAGGCCGTTTTTCATGGCGGAACTTGCGTTGGGTCTTTTTTTGGATGCTCAGGGTCTCAACTCGCTTTCTGTGTATTAGCTATTTCCAGAATAATGACAAAATACCAGAAGTTACCCACCCTAATCATTTCGTTTCCCCGACAGTGGCTCGGTCGTAAGAGTACTGTTGATTTGCTAGGGAACGAACCTGTTGTTGGGCATCTCTCATCAGCCGAGACGGTGGAGTGGGGGCTGAAATCAAGCAGGGCGAGTGAGGCAGGTGACCAAGGGAGCTGGATGCCAAGGATGCGAACTGAACCCATACTAAGGTAGTCAGTCACAAGTAGAAGTCGAGTCATCCCTGGAAGCATTAAATCACATACAACAGAAGCCCCTAACATCAGCCAAACTATCATCCATTGATAAGGTATTCCAAGACTTGACTGGCATGTCTCTCTGCACAGTAGCATAACTACAACAGCTAGCAACAAAAATTATGCGACCATTAATATGAGGTGTGTATAAATAGCATGTATATAGATAGCAAATGACGACGGAGGAGGAGGATGTGAAGGAACAAGGAGGAGATGGGGGTAAGCCGATAAACCGACGAGACGACAATGAAGACAATCAATTCGACTCATAGCTTTGCTTCTCCGGTGCTCCGTGACTTTGTTACTCCGCGCCGATGATGCGTTTGGGCAGGAAAGCCCAGACCGTGCCGACAGTGGAAAGGGTGGTTGAGATGGCCAGGATGACATAGCACAAGAGTTTCTCGCGGGCGGACATTTCGGCGCCGAAAAGCTTAAGGTAGAAGGCCAAGGGGAGACTAGCAAAATGGACATGTAAGCAGCTGAGAAGAAGAGGAAAAGTAAAAAAGGAAAGACTCACGAGACACAGATGGTGAAGCAAAGGGCGCTTCCCATGAAAGCCATGATGCTATCGAAGGAGGGAAAGATGATGGAGATGCCGAGGAAGGCTAGGATGGTACAGATGCGAATGGCGACCTTCATGGCGCCCCGGAAGGAGGCGGAGCGGCCGACCATGGCCTGGCTGTCGGCCAGCGCATCGTGGTGGATGCCGGCGAGGACTTCTACGGTCGAGACGATGGGTCGAGCGTTCAGGGGGATCTTGGTCAGCGGTATGATGGAGACGGAGATACATAGGAGGACGGTGAGGGCGTTGGGATAGCCGCTCGTGGTGAGAATATTGGAGGTGATCTCGTCCAGCACGTCGTCTCCGAACATGAGGAGGCCTACGAGGGCCGTCAGGGCGTCGAGGAAATACTGGGGGCGGCGTGTCAGGATCAGTAGTTCCTTCGTGCTTTATCTGGATATTTGATATTTGGTAGCGGAGAAAAGGGGACTGAGAGAAAGGGGCGCAATACGTACCGAAAAGGTAAAAGTCACCTTGACTGCCTGGCCGAACTTGTAAGGATGTCTCATGTCCCTGTAAATCTACACAAACAACGGGTACTTAAGTATAGGGTTGTTTCTACGAAGTAGACTCTTGTGGCCGTTCGTTGCTGTGGCTGCCTGTCTTGGAAAAGGGGGAGGGGACGTACGTTGGGAAACACACTATGACCACCCCATGGGGACATGAGCAGTCCAAAGGAAAGAGGCAAGGTGAGCCAGTTGGCGGGAAACAAATGAGTCACGGCGGGTTCCACGAGGGAGCCGGGGGTATTTTGTTTGATAAAGCCATCAATGATGACAATGAGCACAACTAAGTTCATATACTTGGTCAGTACCTGGAGGGTCGAGCATCGAAGGGTTCCTGGACATGAAAAGGACGTGCTTAAGGGAGCGGGGTAGTTTTCAAAAGTAGGTAAGAAAAGGACAATAACGCCAGAAGGGAAGGACAAAAAAAAACAAAAAAAAAAAGCTTACTGGAAAGACAACTCAGGATGCCCACAACACTAGTAAAGCTGAGGAGTCGTAATGGGAGGAAATTCAGGGGCATCAAGATTATGGCACAGATGACCTTCCACATGTTGACGGATAGGAAGCCCGGAAAGAGCAGCACCAAGGTGTCTGCAAAGAGGACAATGAGGGCCACGCAGGCGGCAAGAAGTTCCAGTGTGAAGAGAATGCTTGTGGCAATACGAGCGTTCCTTCCGTAGGAGATGAATGCCAAGTCTGAGAAGGTAATGAGACTGGGATCCAGGTCCATGCACTTGGCCAGAAGCTTCGCCGTGTAGGCGGTGACGGCGGCGCAAAGGAACAAGGTGACCATGCCAAAGATCCAGCCGGCATACTTGATCCCCAGCGGCAAGCTCAGGAGGCCGACACCGATGAGCACGCTGTAAAGGAGAAGGGGAGTGGGTTAGCATATACATGTGCTAAGCGAGAACAGTGAGGCGGGGAGGCAGCTGGAAGGGAAACCCAGGGGATTGCATGGATTTGCACGCGCGTACTTGATGGAGTTGAAGATGGTCTGCGGGAGAGTGGACTGGCCCTCGACAGCCAAAACAATTTTCCCGTCCTGCTCGACCTCCTTGACGAGAATGGGCAGGTGGTCGCCATCGACAGGGACACCGGCCTGCTGTTGACGCCAGAGATCGCCGGCGTGGGTCATGGAAGACCGGTCCACATCAGAGATCGTGCCATAGGTCCGATATGAGCTGTAACTCCCCACAACGGGCGGGCTCGCGAGAGGGGGGGCGGCAGCAAAGAGGGACGCGCGGCGCACGCTGCCGCTAAAGCTGGAGCTGTACGCATTGGCGCCGTACATGTCGCTATCGGCGGCCTTTTGCTCCCTGTCGGGGCCTTCCGGCGAATGGTGATGGTGTTGGCTGGAAGCGGCGGCGCCGAGAGACGGGGACGGTCCGGGGCGGCCGCGGTGTGACCCGGCCTCGCTTTCGGCGTCGGATGGGCGGGCAGCTTCGAGGTGTTGGCGCAGGAGAGACGTCCCCTGGTTCGGCGTGGCCGCCTCCACGTCGGTTCGCGCATAGTCGAGGCCATCGACACCGGTGGCCACGGGAGCTTGGTCGGGAGCGAACACGAAGGAGGGACGCTGCGGAATGACTTCGGCGAACCCGGCGGCGCGAGCCCAGCTGCGAGTGAAGGAGCGGATGCTGTTGACGCCACCTAGGTCGGTCAGGGCCGTGAGGTGCCTCGATACGGACGATCTAAGGGTGTACGAAGCAAAGGGTCAGTTGATTGATCCGGGATGGCCAGCGACGGCAATGACCGGGTGGTAAGGGGCAGGGGAAGGGGAAAGGAAGAAAAAACACACCTCCGACGCTGACGCATGCCGGCGTATGGGGAATCGCCAGCACTACGGCTGATATTCTCGTCATTGTCACGTTCGCCCAGCAAGGACTGGTCTTCGGTGACGGCGTTGGAGTCAATACTGACAGAGCGAGGGGAGCCACCACGTTCGTACTCGTCCCACGTGGACGGAGTACGGAGAGCCATGGAACGATGGAGCTGGACCCTCCAGTCAGAACGATGTTCACTGGTATCTAAGCTGTTCGGTGGCTTTTGCTGTAGTCGCGTGACGCGTGGGCGGTGATGGTCACGGAAGGCGGGGTAAGGCCGAAAGAGCAAGGCTGCGGAAGACTCGTCGGATTTTGAGGGAGAAGAGGAAAAAGAAACGAAAAGTGAGCCAAAGAAGACGTACGAGGTAGTCCTAGTTGGGTGGTTCGGCTTGGCACTCAGGACGAAGAGGCTACCTATACTGTAATAGTAGCTCGAGGAGGACAACAATTGCACCGGGATAGTTTCAATACCATCCCATGCGTGCGGAGGGGTCGGTCGCAAACGGGGCGCCTAATAAAAGGGCACCTAGGGAGTTAACGTTATCAACTAGTAGGAACCAACAAGTAAAATAAACTAGGAACTAATTAACATAGACTCTTTGCAATGGGCCGGCGCCTGACTCGGAAGGGCGGCGGCGGGAAGAGGAAGAAGAGGAAGAAGAGTTCTAGAAAATGAAGAGGGCGAAGATGCTACAGCCACTGCGAAAAGAAAAGAAACGCGGGAAATACAAAAGTACGAAGTAATTTCCCCATACAAGACTGATAAGAAGTTTGAAGTCCTGGCATAAAGTTCTGGGCGTTCATCACCCTTCGGTATTACCCTGCAGCAACGAGGAAGTGAAAGAAGCTGATAGAAATCGAGATCTCGACCGCGAACCGCGACCTGCCACCTGCGAACCACCTACCTCACGAACTACGGTCCTCGGGGATTTCGCCTTTCTTCACGCAATCCCCAACCTTTTTCTTTCTTCTATTGACTTATCATTCTATTTATTTATTGGCATTTTGAAAACAAGACAAGCGGAATACCTAAAATACGTTGTACCTCGTCCGCGGTACGCCAACCGCGTTCGGACGAGTGGGTGGTGGGGTAATTACAAGATGAGAACACGGAAACACGGCTGTTATCGCGATTGGAGCCCCTTTTATCGGTATGATGACGCTAGTGGCTGTCTATGTGGAACGTGAATGGTCAGTGGGTGGGGTAATACGAATACAATGTACTGCTCCCTTAATCGGTAAATGAGGCAGGTAGTTCAGAACCTTCGGAAGTAGGTACTATCTAACCCCTGAAAAACCGTACAATATATACTTGCGGGGCCTGTATAAACTAATAGTATCACGATAATGAGTATAACTAGATATATTAAGATTATATATAAAATACAGAGGCTTAGATATACTAAAATAGGGGGGCTTAGTACTCTCTAAAACTACCTTATAGCTCCTTAATATATTAAATAGTAACTAATAGCTCTATAAACTACGTTCTATATAGCGTATATATATATATCTAGTAACTAAATCCTTTCTTATATAAAATAGCTATAGACAATTCTAGATTAACCTAAAGATATCTTATAATAGTAATTTAAAATTGTTTTTGTATTGGTGTTATTAGTGTAGGTACGTACCTCGAACCTTTCCAAACTTCCTAAATGGGTAGTTCACGAAGTACCACTTTGTACGTTTTTTCAGGGGTTATATGGTATGAAGCACTAGACGTATCAGAAGTGGGGGTCTTATCGCATAGGCAGGACCACGATATAGTCTATAGGGGATCTAGGGGGGATCTACTCTATAACTAAGGGCTCCGGATATCGGGGACTTCGGGTATTAGGATATAATAAGGGTGGATACCGGAAAAGACCGGATAGGATCTAAATGATATAGTACCTATAATAGAGTCTTTACTACCTAAATTAAGGGTATAAGAGACTCTCCTAGATATAACTGGATATACTACACACACACGAGATTTCTGCTCTACTAAGTTAATTATTTAAGGGCCTATTTAATATACGATATTTATAAGTCCGGTTTATAACGCCTAAACGATAGATATTAATAAGGCTACCCCTATTCCACTATAAAGAAGTAATCACGTCTATATAAGCACTCTTAAATAACTACTATTGACCTGATTAGAGTAATTAAGAGATTAATTAACCTACCTATTAATTAACTAACCGATAAACGATAATCTAGTAAAGATATCTTCTAACATATCTAACGCCGAATAGAAGGCGGCCGCTACTACCCTTGTTAACTAGAGGGATTAGGCAGTTTAGGAGCACGCCGTACGCGGTAAATCGGCCTCCTGCTAGGATAACTACCTTAATCCAAAGCTAAGCGATAAGGAGGCTAACGCCTATCTCCTCCCTATACCTATACCCCCTAACGTTTATAAATATAAAGCCCTCGCCGCAGACCCTAACACGGAGGAGGCTACGGCCACTACCGTCACGGCTACTCCGTCTTCTATTATCACGCTAAAGGGCGATAAGGCCACGGATACCACGGACGCCGCCGCCACGGCCGCTACCACGGCGGCCACGGCCGCCGGTAAAAGGAAAACGGCCGCTCGCCAGAAGGCTACGACTATAACAAAAGAACTAATAACTAGGACGCCTATATCTATCGACGACCTCTCTAAAAAGGGGCGCACGCGCTACCTATAAAATCGCCGTGTATACCGCGAGGAAAAGGCAGACTACGACACGTAGTAGAAGGAGTTTAATAAGGTACGCTCCTATATTAAAGGGACCGTATATACCACGTTACGTAACCTCCTCGCCTAGCTATAGAATAATACCGTAAATAACCCGCGGGCCTAGATTACTCTCCTACACGCGCACGCAGGACCGATACCTATAGACCTCCGTAAGGAAGCCCTAGTCCTATACCGACGATACACCACGCCTATAAAGGCTATACCTAAGGATATAGATACCTAGGTAGTAAGCTAGAAAATAACGATAATACACTATAAATATATAGGCGTTTTAGAGCTATTAAGCGCGGACTATTAGGCAGAAGACGCGTTAAAAGCTATTAGACCTATTACCCAGGAATAGAGTAATAACTACTTAGTAAATAACTACGATAAGATTACGGAAAACGAGCTAACGATTAACGACTTCGTAAAGGCTCTAAGGGCGGTTCTTAGTAATATAAAGAGCCTATAATCCACCGCTATAAAGCCTAGAGTTAGGAGAGGCACCTTTAATACCCTTAGGAACCTCCCCGATACTAAGGATACTACTAATAACGATAATAATAAGAAGCGCCCTTATAGTAACACGTCCGTAAAGGCTATCCCTCCCGTAACGAGGAGGCCTTATAAGATATATAAGAATACCCATACGACCGCCGCCTATTAGTATATAAGGCCGGATATACGCCCTTATACCTAGTATGGCCGTGAAGATATTATAAAGGTCGCGGAAAAGAAGATACGTATTTATAGTTTTAAAAGCCGCGTGGATACCGCGATACAGAAGAGGCGGGAAGTAGTAGCTGCCACCGCTAATAAGATAGAGGAAGTTTAGGAAGATTAACTCTATAATACTACGCCTACTACTATAGTTTATAAAGACCTATCCGTTACCGCGACGGGGAGACTAGGAGCCCCCTTAACCTAGGAGGTAGCGCGTTGTCGTACGACGATACTATTAAGATTATAATAAGAATAGGGGATATCCCTTTCTATTAACTAAGCTAGAGCGCTATTATACTATGTGATCCTAGACTTAGGATCGTTAATCTATATCTTTAATAATTAAGGCCGTTTTATGGCCGTTAGACTACCCACGGTTAATTTATTAACGCTTTAGGTGGGTATTTATAAGGCTCTTATCCTTAGATATGGAGACGTTAAGCTATATATATAATCTCTATCGGGTATAAAGAGGCTGCTACGCCTCCGTGACGTTGTATACTATAAGGAATTCGTTACTAATATCGTCTCGGAACGCTAGCTACGCCTATAAGGTTACTATTAGGATACCGTAAACGATACTATTATTAGCTCCGTCGATAACCGGCCTATCTATAAGCTACTAGATATCCACGGCCAGTATATAATCAAGCGCGCGGAAGCCACGGCCGCTACTGCGTTCGCGGTCTTAGTAAGGCACCCCCGCGATAACCCGTATAGAAGATCACGATAACCGCGGTAACCGTAGAAGACCACGGTATAACGGTGGTATAAACGCCTTGGCTATTGCGGTACCGATACTCTTATTAAGATCGTCGACGCCACTTAGGGGGTAAAGATAAAAGGACCTTATATAACGGACTATAACGCGTATAGGTAATCGTAAGTGCCTACGTAGATCCAGCGGATACTATCCCTTTACCCGTTAAAGCCCGGAGAGGCCCTATCTATTAATTTTCACGATCTAAAAAAGGCAGAGTAATTAGCGGGCGGACTATATAAGTCTATTATATTCGTTATAGATGTGTACACAGGTTATACATAGGATTACTACCTATAGAAGAGAGACTAAGACTCTATCCTACACGCTCTAAAAGACGTTTTTACTCTACTTAAGACCTAATTCGACGTTAGGCTATACGTTCTACGGGCCGATTCTAAGATATTTTAGCACCTAGAAGTCGTTACTTTCCTCGCTGCTAAGGGGGTAAAAGGCTAGCCGTCGGTACTATATTTATAGGATTAGAACGGCGTTATAGAACAGATTAAAGGTATCGTTAAGAGAAAGGCGAGGGCTATAAGGATTAGAGCTAATCTACCTATATCTATCTAGCCTAAGATCTTTAAGACTGCTATATATCTATATAATAGAACGCTATAATATATTAACGACTAGAAGACACTATACGAAGGCCTATAGGGCCGTTAACCTAACCTTACGCACTTACGAGCTTACGGCTATAAAGCCTTTATAAAAATGCGCGATGCCTAAGCTAAAAGAAACCGCCTATAAAGGCTAGAACCGAAGGTAGAGATCGGCTATTACGTTGGATACTAATCCTCGAATAGCTTCCGTATTTAGCTACTATACCTAACGGATATTATCACTATAAGAGACATGGTCTTTAACGAAGACGAGATATTTAACGGTAGGATTAAAACGCTATAAGCTATAGCTTCCGCCGAGGAAATCGGGGAACGCCTATAATCTATCCGTATCACCTATACTATAACCGCGAATAGGCTATTATTAAAGGGCATAGCTATAGACGTATTAGATCTTAAGTCGGAAGACTCTTACGCTACCGCTATTACTACGGATAAAGGCGAGGCCGTCGCTATTACTATAAGAGAGGCTACTACTATTACTATAGACGAGGTTCTAAATCTATAGCCTAATAACTAGGCTATAGATTTAAAACCTTATAACTCTGACGCCACCGCTATTACTACGGATACTTTACGGTTTACTACTACGAGGTTTAAACCGTTTCCCACGTCTCTAATATCCCCTAAAGATCCCGCGCGCGCGTTTCTTATAGCGTTAGCGGTAGTAAGGGGCGCTAAGGTAGAAGAACACGATAACCACTAACAGATAGCTATAGGTGCCCCTAGGGGATGCCTATCGGCTATACTCTTATCGGCCGTGCGCCTATTACCCGCGCGCCTATCTATCGCGAGAACTATCGTAAGTATATACACGACCGAGAAGGTCTAGAACGATAACGCCTAAAAGGCGTTCTTTAACACTAGCAGGACTTATAACTCTATACGCATGAGGAAGTAAGCTATTAACGATAACGACGTCGGTACTATAGATTCCCTTTATACCTCCTAGCCACTATCGCTATTGTATATAACCCGCGAGGATCTCCCGCCTCTACTAAACTACCACCACGATATACGCCTTTATCCGTTACGGGAGCGGTGGTTATAGGCTAAGGGGGAATACTTTAAGGGGCACCGATAAAAAGGCTATTAGTAGGAGGTAGGTAGTAATTAGGCTAATAAGCAATAAGTCCTCGCCTATAGATAGGTATACACCTATAAATTTAATAAGGAAGGGCACCCTTCTTAAGTATAAAGCACGCCTTATAGTCTAAGGGGATTAGTAAAAACGGTTAGAGACTAAAGATAACTACGCCGTAACGCTAGCTTCGCGGTCCTTCCATATACTAATAGCGATCGCCGCCCGGTTTAACCTAGAGATAAGGCAGTTCGATGCTATTAACGCGTTCGTTAATGTTAGCCTTAAGGAAGAGGTGTTTATAAAGATACTGTAAGGTTATGGAGTGCTAGGTAAGGTCCTGCTACTACGGAAAGCCCTCTTCGGCTTAAGGGTATCGTCACTATTATAGTAAGAGGAATTTAACGGTATACTATAAAGGATAGGATTCACGGCCGTGCCTAATAACCCCTATATTATACTCCGCGACGGTTTAATTCTATTCTTCTACGTCGACGATATCGGACTTATCTACTATAGAGATCGTAAGGCGGACGCCGACGACCTTAAGGCCGCCCTTAAGCGAAGCTATAGGTTATTAGGAGGCGAAGAAATCCGTTAGTTCCTGGGAATTAAGGTCCTAAGGGATAGAGCTACCCGAAAGTTATAGCTGTTATAATCCTCCTATGTGGAGAAGATCGTGGTTAAATACTGCGTAGATATACTCTACCGAAAACCACTAAAGGTCCCGTTATTAACGATAAAGCCGCTAATACCCCGCGACGGTATACGCGCGTCGATTCCCGAGGTCTATTAGTATTAGGGTATAATCGGTTCTATCCTATACGCCGTTATCGTATAAGACCCGATATCGCATTCGCCTATTCGAAGCTTTCCTAATATAATATTAACCCCTCCTCTAACTATCTTAAGAGGGCTTAATAAGTGCTGCTATTCCTATACTATATAAGACACCACTACCTGAAATTCGGCGGGGATAGGCTCTTCCTGATAGTAAGCGACGCGTCCTTTAGAGATAATCCAGACCGTAAGAGTTCGTAAGAATATACGATAAAGCTCTTCGGCGGCACCGTTAACTAGAAAGCGGGTAAATAACCGACGGTCACGACGTTGTTAATAGAATCGGAACTACTCGCTCTTATAGAGGCCACTAAAGAGACGTTATTCGTTAGCTGGATATTAAGGGATTTAGAGCTTCGGCTAGACTAATAATAGATATAGCTATACTACGATAATTAATAGACTATTAACCTCGTTAATAAGAAGATATAACGCCTGCGGATAAGGCTACGGCACGTCGATATATATAACTAGTGGGCGCGCTAGTTAGTATAATAAGGTCTCTTTAAGGTTATGTACGTTAACACGAAGGAGATAATCGCGGACGGATTAACGAAGGCACTGCCGGAGGCGGGGATTAAAAGACTATAGTAATAGCTTAATTTAACTAATTAAAAGGATTATATCGAGTAGTCTAAACGACTACACGAAGAGATTAAACGTGCTAAAGCGGCCGTAACAAAGGCCCCCGAGGGCGTGGCAGATCCGATAGATATAGATCTAATTAATTAGATCCGGCTAATCAGGATCGAGGAACTAATTAAGATAGAATTGAATTAAACGGTTAAATAGGGCGGATTTAGATCCTTTTTGCGAGGGCCTTTTCCCTTGACTGTTAATTTTACGATGGATAAGTTAAGAGCGTTTGGTTTAAACCGAAGCCTCTGATTGGTTAGTTAACCTGGGAAGACCCACCTTAACTAAGGGGGTGTGTTGTATGGGCAGGACCACGATATAGTTTATAGAGGATCCAGGGGGGATCCACTCTACAACTAAGGGCTCCGGATATCGGGGACTTCGGGTATCAGAATATAATACGGGTGGATACTGGAAAAGACCGGATAGGATCTAAATAATATAGTACCTATAATAGAGTCTTTACCACCTAAATTAAGGGCATAAGAGACTCTCCTAGATATAACTGGACATAATACACACACACGAGATTTCTGCTCTACTAAGTTAATTATTCAAGGGCCTATTTGACGTGCGATAGGTCTGCCGCCGTCCCTTATTAGAAGCGTGTGTAAGGTACCCGGGTACTTCCTTGCACACTACACTTAGTTCAGCCACAGCAATAGCTATACGTACAAATAGACAATTAGATGCTTCAAATGGCAACACTGCGGCCGTCAGTGGCGTGTCCTTCTCTGGAAGACACGTACTCTATCTATCCCACGCAAAAAACAAACACTACAAATCGTGGGGTAATAACAACCGCGCCGATCGTCCCGCGATCTCACCGACCTCACATGCTTCGGACACAAGCCACTGACAACTACCTGTCTCGTGTCACGCCAGCCAAATTCTTCGGTATTTTCCCATTTTTCTAGGGAAGGATTAGGGCGCCCGGACGTCTTAATATCAGCCCGTAAAAGTGGAGTCATAGTGATATATATCCCTTTACATATAAACTGCCTATATTATAGTACTAAAGCGACGTCTTGGTAGGAATAGGTATATACTGTTATATTTATTAATCCCCTAGGCCTAAGGTAATACTATAAGGTACTAAGTCTGCAGAGTACTTAAGTAAATTAATAAGAGATCCTTATCTTTTTCCTTAATATATTCCTGGATATCTTCCTCGATTTATAGATCTAATAGCTCCTATCTAGAGCCACGGTTCTAGACTTATACTTTATAGTTACCTTACCTAGGTAGTAATGTATTAATAGGGTTATTCCTTCTATTATAGGAGGCGGCGGTAGTATACCTAGGTACTTTGAAAGCAGTTTAATTGGGTAATTACCTAGAATATAACTGTATATACCTGGACTCGATAAGGCCTCGCTTTATTATAGTGTTTGTAAGTAAAGGAGTATATATTATTATAACTCCACTTTTACGGGCTCGATATCAAAACGTCCGGGCGCCCTAATCCTTCCCTTTTTCTATCTTTCTTTCTTTTTTTAGCTTCCTTTTCTACAAAGCCACTTCTAATACCTGTTAGTCCCAAGACGCCGAATCCGCATTAACAATCGAGCAACCCTCCGCGTTGCTTCCCCGACTCACGAGGCGTCCAATCCGGAACACCGTCTCCCCCGCCGCCTGAAATGCCGCCACTGCCTCCTCGACCACGCTAGCATCCACCGCCGCAGTCATGCCAATTCCCATGTTGAATGTCCGACACATGTCCAACTCTGACACGTTGCCGCTCCGCTTCAGCCACCTGAACACGCCCGGAATCTGCCAAGCTGTCAAATCCACCTCCGCCGCCAGGTGCTCCGGCAGCATCCGGGGGATGTTGTCGATCAGCCCGCCTCCCGTGATGTGCGCCAACCCCTTTACCAGCCCTCGCTCTACCGCCTCCCGGACGCCCTTGACGTAGATTCGCGTCGGCGTCAGCAGGCTCTCACCCACCGTCTTGCCGCCCTGGTCCCACGGCACCGCTTCGCCGTACTCGATGCCTTCGCGGTCCACAATCTTCCGCACCAGCGAGAACCCGTTCGAGTGCACCCCGTTCGACGCCAGCCCCAGCAGCACGTCCCCTTGCTTCATGTCCTGCAGGCGCGGCAGCCTTTGCCTCCCGACAATGACGCCGAACGCGCACCCGGCCGCGTCGTAGTCGTCCTTCTGGTACATCCCCGGCATCTCGGCCGTCTCGCCTCCCACCAGTGCACACCCGGCCTGGATGCAGCCTGCTGCCACCCCCTCCACAAACGCCGCCGCCGTCTCCATGTCGAGCTTGCTGCATCCGTAGTAATCCAGGAACATAAGCGGCCGCGCGCCCTGCACGATCAGGTCGTTCACGTTCATCGCCACCAGGTCGATCCCCACCGTATCGTGCTTCCCCAGCTTCTGCGCAATGAGGAGCTTCGTGCCCACGCCGTCGATGGCGCCCACCACGATGGGGAGCCGCCCGTCCTCCAACGAGAGTCCACATTGCGCCAGGTCAAACTCGCCCCCGAAACCTCCAATTTCGGCATCGGCACCGGGCACCTTGGTCGCCCTGACGGCCTTCTTGATCCGCTCCACGAATTCATTGCCAGCGTCGACGCTGACGCCCGCGCCTGCGTAGGTGAGCGCCTCCTTAGTAGCAGTGGCGGGGGAGGACTTGCGGAAAGCGCGGTGAGCGATATCCCTGCGGAAGTACATCCCCTCAAACTGGATGAGCTTGATGCCTTCCTCGTACGCCTTCTTCACCGCAGCCTCCAGCGACTCGGTGGCCGTGGCGTTGACGGCGATGACGCGACCGCCCGACGTCTCGAGGTTGCCTTCGGCGGTGAGTCGTGTCCCGGCGTGGAACACGGTGACCTCGGGCGACGTCGACGCCTTGACGACCATCGGAGTCCCCTTGGCGTACGCCTCGGGGTACCCGCCGGCAGCAACCACCACGGTGGCGCTGTATTTCGGCTCGACCCGGATCTTGACGCAGTCCAGGCGGGCCTCGTGTGCCGTGCAGGCCATCATGATCTCCGCGAGATCGGTGTCCTCCGAGAGGAGGGGGAGAACGGTCTGCGTTTCCGGATCGCCGAATCGGACGTTGTACTCCAGCACCTTGGGACCGTTGCTCCCGATCATCAACCCGGTGAACAAGACGCCGCGGAACGGGATGCCGTCTTGGCGCATCCCCCGAATGGTCGGCTCCACCACTTCCTCCTCGATGCGGCGTATCAACTCCTCGGTCGCGATGGTCGTGGGCGCGTAACACCCCATGCCGCCCGTATTGGGACCCTGATCGCCCTCCCCGATCCGCTTGTGATCCTGCGCCGGGGGTAAGGAGAGGGTGTGGGTGCCGTCGCTGAAGGTAAGAATGCTGAGCTCATCGCCGGTGAGGAACTCCTCAATGACGATTTCCTGGCCGGCCGACCCAAAAGCCTTGTCGACCATGATCTGCTTGACCGCGGCCTTGGCTTCCTCCTTGTTGTTCGGGATGATGACGCCCTTGCCGGCCGCGAGGCCCGTGGCTTTGATGACTACGTTGTGAGAGATGCGATCGAGGTAGGCGATGGCCCGGTCGTAATCGGAGAAGTTCTCGTAGGCAGCCGTGGGGATGTTGTGCTTCTTCATGAAGTCCTTGGAGAATGTCTTGCTCCCCTCCATCCGGGCCGCTTCCTTGGAAGGGCCGAAACAGGGGATGGCGGCGGCTCGGAAGTATCCCTCGACGCCGTCGACGAGCGGTGCCTCTGGCCCGGGCACCACAAGGTTGACGCCCTGTGATTTGGCAAAGTCCACCAGGGCCGGGTAGTCCTCCGGCTTGACAGACGACACGTTTGTAACCTTGGGACAGCTCGCCGTGCCGCCATTTCCTGGGACGGCGAAAATGGAGTCGACCAGGGGGGACTGGCTCAGCTTCCAAGCGAGTGCGTGCTCACGACCCCCATTGCCAATCAAAAGGATGCGCATTGTCGGTGCCATCGTGGTGTAGCAGGTAACGTTCTAACGGCTGTGTGGACAGTTGAATTTGACCACCAGCTGATAAGGCACGAAACAGTCAGTGCGGGGGTCCAGTAGGTCGAAGAGAAGAAGAAGAAGCGCGTGCGTACTGGGGATGGCGGGGTACCGTTTGAATGAATAATGCGGAATAGAAGTTCTCCAGGGCAGACTGAAGGTTAAAAAAATAAAAAATAAAAAGGTAAAAAGTAAAACGTCAGGCTCAGCTGGAGCTCGCAGCTTGCCGTGGGCTTTCTTTTGCAGACAAAGTGTCAATCCAAAGCGCCGCGACCAAGCTGAGGTTTGAGTCCAGAGTGAAGTCCGGATTCGGAGGGGTCAAAAAATTTCAAGTTTCAATGTGTGAATTCTCTCCGCGTCTTTTCTCCCACTTTCAGTATTGCCCCTCCTTCCATAATAGGCTATGCTGCTAATACTAAGGTACCTTAGTGACGATCATAGATCGTAGTCCCATTCGCTGTTGGATCCTGGCCCCACTCCCCCGTCTATCCAATACACGGTACGAATTCAAAACAATTAAAAAAAAAGAAGAAAAAAGAAAAGGAAATGACGAGAAGTCGACAGTGCCCATACTCACACCGACACACACTGTTGAACTACACCTCTTGTATCTTTCCACCTACAGATAAACGGGCGGTCTTGGCGGTGCCGAGCCGATACAGTTTTGCCTTGCAAGCTTACAGGTTGACAATGACAATACGCCCATATACACCCACGAATGCCATGTCATTTTAATACACCAAGGCGGAGTTCCTATATTCCAACTTCTACTCTTCCCCCCCTCTCGTCTAACATTTCCCTGGGAATGACAACGTCGACCGATTATACCGAGCGGGTCGCCAATGTCGCGGACGGCCTGAGTTCCAGCTTGCTGGTTCTAGATCGTTTCAACCATCGCCATAAGAACCAACATCGCGTCGCCACGTGGTGGGCTCGGTTTGACCTATTCCGCCGGTCCGTCAGAAGGCTCCTTGACACTATAAGCACATACGAACAGCTACACGGACGATATGCCAGGGCGCGCTCCACCGCAAAGCAACGAGACCGGAAGGAGCCGAGCGAACTGGTCTCGCAGAGAGATGCTATCCTGAAAAGGGCACGCTGGCTCTCCGGTCATGTTATTCCGACAGTCTACCTGTAAGTGTGAAGGAAAGCAGATTTAACTTCTCATAATTCACCCAACACAAGTCGGGCCTGAATTACAAATCCGTCGCCGCCTCCGCCTGGCCCGTCTCACTCTACTAGTTGACCGGGATGACCTGATGCATTCAAAACAGCCCATTCACTCAGCTCGTTGCTGACAACCAGCACGCCACTCTCGGCCTGCTCCTGCTTGGCCTCACTTCCCGCGTCAAGGCCGCCATAGCGCCTCTGCTCGGTGACGCGCAGGAGCCTCACCCCCCGCCACAAGTCACTTCGACAACCGAGCCCAGTCAGTTGCCATCATCCGCCACCGTGGGCGAGCCTGCCCCGCTCGACTTTGGTGTCGTGGTTTCGCGGTCCGAGGCAAGCCTCCACCAGACCTACGAGAAGACCCCCTCGAGTCAGCAGCCGGTCTCTGGTGACCAGCCTCCCCAGGATCGTGGCCGTGACAGGCTGCATGACGATCAGCCTCCCGCAGAAATATCAACCCAGGCACGCATCAGCAAAAAGAGTATGCAAAAGCCGAAGAAGAGGAAAAAGGGCGATGAGTTTTCGGAACTGTTTGGTTCGTTGTTATGACGGCCATGTATTCTACAGTGTATTTATGATTTGAGTCTTCGTTCTTACTTCATCCCAATATCTCGCAGTTCCTACTCGCGTGAGCCAGGTGATTTACAGAATTCCCACACATCGCCGTACATCATGGACTTGTTTCCACATTCTTCCCGTTGTCTCCTCCGATTGGAAATAATGAAAAAAAGGGAGAGAGAGAAACTTAACGCCCATCAAGTCTGTCCCAAAGTGTCTGAAGATGGCTCCCAATTTAACCTTCACCTGATCAGTGGAACGCGTGGACCAAAGGGGGTGAGGGCAATAATACAAGAGTCCCATTGAAGTAATTACCTTACGCCATCCTCCGACCTGTAGTCTCCCAGTGAGCAAGCGTGAACAGAGAGATATGTGCGGTTAAGTGATTCCAATCAGGATCAACCACTCTGTCTGAACACCATACTCCCCCACTTCCCCAATCACATACCTCGAAAAACTTATCACGACGATCCACCGCTGTTGGTATCCCGGACAACATTACATTTCTTTACTATTGGACGCTGCGATATGACCAGATACGCGCTCTCATGTCACCAGACCCCGTCGCGAAGTATCCGCCCGTCGGGCTTGGGGCAACGGAAATTACGGAGTTCTTGTGACCTTGCAGCATGAGTTGCGTAGCTCCTGTGCGAGGATCCCAGAACTGCACGCCTCGGTCCTTGGAGCCAGACATGACCCAAGCAGCATCGGGCGTCAAGGCGACAGAGAGAACGAAGTCCTACACGCGTGTAAGCAATTTGCCTGTTACCGTGACAGAGAAGGTAGCCCAAAGGGTGATAATGGAAAAAGAAGGGAAAACACAAGAAAAAAGAGAAAAAAGAGAAAAAAAAAGGGGGCGGGGGGCGGAGAAAACCTACCCTGTGTCCTTCAAATGTCTTCACGCACCGTCCCCCCTTGGGGCCAGCATTCGACAGTCCGCGGGGTGTGCTGAGCTCCCACATCTTGATAGTCTTGTCGAGACTACCGCTGACCAGGTCTTTACCGTTTGGTGAAAAAGCCACGCTATAGACGCTGTCCTTGTGACCATCTGGGCCCTCGAGACGTTCCAAAAGGTAGCCCTGATGAATATCCCAGACACGGACACTCTTATCAAGAGAGCCAGCTGCGACATACTTCGTGTCGGGTGAGATGGCGACCGTCGTTACTCCATCTTCTATGGTCAGCGTGAGAGTGTTGGTGCCCGACTCGATGTCCCAGAGGCGCACTGTCCTATCACCGCTTCCCGAGGCAATCGTACGTCCGTCCCGGGCAAAGTCTAGTGAGTAGATGTCCTGCTCGTGACCAGAGAACGTGTTGCGGATGGTCCGACTCTTAATATCCCATACCTGTTCGAGAGTGTGAGCAGACCGACAGCCTCGCCATAATATAGGAAGACCATGTTGGGGGAACTTACGCGAATCAGTTTGTCTTCAGCGCCAGTAGCCAAGTAGTTGCCGTCAGGGCTGAAGCAAACGCTGCGGATGTACAGGTCGCCAGAGACGTCAACCGAGTCATCCTGCAACACGCAAAGCTTCTCGCCCGACTGGACGTCGTAGATTTGGGCCGATCGGTTGCATCCAGTAGCCACATATTTACCGTCGTGGCTGAAGCGGACGCAGCACACCACACTCTCGTGCCCTAGGGTGTGGACTAGATCGACGTCGAGCATGCGGGGCACGCGGTCATTAAAGATGGCAAACCAATCGTAGCCGGACTTCTTTGCCGAAGCAGGCAGGCGATCCGGGTCCAGGTCTCCCAGGGCATTACCCACGGGCGGGGGAGGTGGGGCATGAGGGCCTCCCATACGAGCGTGATCTGGCGTCGGATGGCTGACCTGCGGCGACTGAGTGGCCCCGGGAAATGGAATGGGAGTATTGATTTGGGGTGTAGCTGGACCTACGCCCGCAGGGGGGCGGCCGATGCCGCGTCTGCCTGGGCCGGGCGAGGCAGTACTTTGGGGAGGCTGCGTCCCGTTGGGAACAGGACCTTGAGGATAAGGCTGCTGGAAATGCTGAGGTTGCGATTGAGGAGGAGGGGGAGGTGGAGGACCGGGAAGACCAGGCGGTCCCTGGGCCATTTGATGTTGCGGGCCCATCTGTTGGTCCTGCGGAGGAGGGGGAGGAGGGGCAAGGCCACCCTGCCCGCCACCCGCCATGATTCCATTAAATAGGCCATTGCCGGACGAAATAGAAGGAGGTTGTTGGGAAGGCGCGGGATGGGGTGGAGGACCGTTACTCATGCCTGGTGGGGCATTTCCGCGAGCGAGCTCCAGCTGGCGACGGAGATGAGCGACCTCTTCTTCGTACCTAGTTGATCAATTCCGTGAGTCGCCGTGCCGCAAAAGAAGTATATATATAAAAAACAACCCATGCTAGGGGGAGTGTGGAGGAAGATGTCCATACTTTTGTTTGATGTTGAGATGTATCTGCTCCATGTTGAAGACCTTCTCTCGGATATGTTGCATCTCGCTTAATTGAGCTTGAACTGTTATGGTGGTCGAATTGGTCAGTAACGCCCAATAAACACGATACGAGCCAGGGCAGGCGTTTGTATATCATACTTTGATGCTCGTATGCCTCATTGGTACGCAGCTGCGAGCTGAACTCATTGCGAACCTGTTCAAGCAGCTCGTCTAGCCGGGACTGATTGGCAGGGGGCGCCGCGCCGGCCATGGCGCGATGGGGATACATAGACATGACGAGAGAATGTTTCGAGCAGGACGCGGCCTAGGCAAGATCGAGGTATGCCGGAGCAGATCTAAGAAAATTCGGGGATCGCGGGAATATGAGACAAAAACCCCGACGCCTCTCGGCACGTCCGAGTAGCTAGCTGTTGGTCGACGAGTGAGGAGGAAGGGAAAGTTGCTTTCTCCCCCGGGGCTGCGGTGATAGTCGACCGACCCCCTCCTCGGCTAAAATGGAAAAGGCACTCTTTCGAGTGGGTTGTATTGGCTGTTGACGGCCCTCAGAGCCTTGTAGCGATAGCGATAGATGGTCTGTGATGTTGTGGTTGATGTCGCGACGCACAGTGATGGTGGTGAGGTGGGAAAGGAGAGAAAAAGTTGAGGAGCCGGACGGAACAGGAGAAGATGGGGACAGGCTTGTGTGGACACGGCTTGTTCGTGGACAGACCGGGGAGGTACGAAGTACAGTAGGGAGGCTGTGGGGCCAGGACCCCATCCACACAACCGTTTGACTTTGGGGCTACGGTGATTCACGCAGGAAACATGACCAAAAGTATAGTACCTCAAAGGTACCCCCTCCCATCCACTGAGACCCGACGTTCCACAAGGGAAACCCACCGTCACTCTTTTATGCTTACCTTAGGTACCTGGTATGGAGTACCTTAGGTACCTTATATAAGGTAAGGTAACAAAGGTAAATACACTAAGGTACCTCAGTACTTTGTACGAAGTACTTCTTATATAGATGCGCGCTTGATCCAGCCCAACGACGGCAGAGGCCCGCCTCCTCTCCAGGACATTCGATCCATAAACTCTGGGGGTGCGCTTATCCCTGAGTTACAGTACGGAGTAACATACACTTCGTACAAGGCAAGGTGGATGGGTACCTAGGCATTGTACGATAATCATGGGGTTGGCGGCGTGGTGGATGTGATATTGCTACGGTATATCCTTACGAAGGAAACATCAGGTAGGTAAGGAAGGTACCTAGACACCTTAGGCATTGCATTCTAAGCCCGGCATCTGCAGGCCAATGAATAGCACCTGCAAGTTGGAACAAGGCTCAAATGTGGGGGGAAAGAGGGACGTTGTGATCCCGACATGGGTTCTAATGTAATCTGAAGAAACGCATAAATACAGATACCGTCTAACCCCTGAAAAAACTACAATATGTACTTGCGGGGCCTGGATGAACCAATAGTATCACGACAATGAGTACAACTAGATACATTAAGAGGTAGGAACTTTCTATGGGTTTAGATATACTAAAACAGGGGGACTTAGTACTCTCTGAAACCACCCTGTAGCTCCATATTATATTAAATAATAACTAATAGCTCTATAAACTAAGTACCTCCTATATAGCGTGTATATATATATCTAGTAACTAAATCCTTTCTTATATAAAATACTATAGATAGATTCTAGATTAACCTAAAGATATCTTATAATAGTATTTAAATTGATTTTCGTATTAGTGCTATTAGTGCAGGTACGTACCTCGAACCTTTTTAAACTTCCTAAAAGTGTAGTTTATAAAGTACTACTTTGTATATTTTTTCAGGGGTTATATAGTACCTACTATCTAACCCCTATTTAATTATATGTTATATACTTACGGATCCAAATAAACCAATAATATCACGATAAAAGGTGGAGTAAAATAGAGCTAGATATATATTTGTTACGACGGCTTCCGGTCCTCTATAGTATAGCGGACGATAGGGGACTAGCGTCGGGGTTTTAGTTTAAAATAAGAAGAGGATATTAACTAAAGAGCAGTAACTGTCGTTCGTAGTGTCTGGTCGTAGTTGTGTCGTAAAGACTAGGCGTCTTCTTTATAAGGTAGAGTCGAGCGTAGACTAATAGTCCAGGTGAAGACTTAGATTGATTAATGTCTTATTCTCTAATAGAAGTAAGACCTAGGATATGCTGGTATATATATCTACGGGATCACGGGTATCCTGGTGATCTCCTGGTTCGGGATCATGCCGGATCACTTCTCGGACTAAGTGACCCCTGGTAATCCTAGTAATCCTCCTATACTAATAGGTTCCCTGTGCGGGTGTATACTATACCGGTTATCTATTACGTGACTTAGCACGTGATATTATCCTAAGTTATCTTCTAGTTACGCCCTAGTGCGCTAACCGCCCTAGTACGTTATATATTAGTATATCCTTAGTGTATATTAGGTCTACTAGCCGTAATATTACCTTCCCCCTTCTAAGCGCTATCCTAGTAGTCGTATAAATAGGTCGCCTACCCCGGGTTTATAACCCCCCGGGTTTTCTTCTTTTCTCTTATAGCTAACTATTATATCCGGTTATATATAGAAGTTATAGCTTTCTTATAAGACGTAGTATCGAATTAAGTTATCGCGTACTATTAAGCTTTCTAGAGTAGAAGTTATACCTTATTCCTTTTACGAGTCGAAAGGCCTCCGGTGCCTTATAATTAAGAGTATCTCTTATTATAAGGAATATATTCGTCGTGGTTACTCGTGCGATAGTTTAGGTATCCCTTTATCTTCTTATAGGTGTTTTCCTGTTCTCCGCGAGCCGTTTCTTCTTACTAACCGCTCTCCCTAGTAACACGTATTAATAAGGAAATAAAGCGTCTTAAAGCGGAGGAGGAGGTAACCGAGGCTTCCCTTCTATCTGCTTATCGCGTGTTAGAGAAGGCATAGAAGGAAGCTTCTAAGTCTTTAGCCTGTCTGGCCCGAATCCGTCGTTAGAGGGAGTCTCTTCGTTCTAAGGGTGTGACCATAGTAGCCCGTGGCCTTAAGTCCCTTAATGCTTTAGAGGCGGCGGATCGCGAGGAGTCCGAAGCGGTAGTCGATACGCGGGTGGCGGGTGCGGTTAATATAATTAACTGGAATCTAATCCTACCGTAGGATATAGGTGATTTTCTGGATATTAATTTTACGTAGACCGCGGTGTCCGGTTCTGGGTCCTGATAGTGTTCTGTCGGCATTACTTTAGGAGTTACTTATAATTAATCAGGTTTTCTTTGGGTTCCTATATATTATCGCCGTGGTCGTAGTTTTTCTATTTTATAAAATATTCGGTACCGTCTAGCGTCTCTCGGTAATCGAGGATTTATTCTACTTTATATATATCGCTAGTATCGACCACGATTATATCTTATATTATTTTTACGTTTTTTAGTGCTAGTTTAAGTAGTGAAATATAGAAATTATTATATATTCTTATTATCGGAGGTAGTAATAGAATATAGTTTATATCTAACTTTTTCTCTAGAATTTTAAATAGTCCTAATTTTTTAAAATCCAATTTATCGCTTAGTTATTATATCTTAATATTTTTACGAATAAGGTAGACATGGTCCCCTTTCGAAAGGGTTAGTCCCTTAATCCTTAATTAATTCGCGTACCTACTTATTCGTGTTCTGACTATCTCTAGGTCGGTTCGTAGTTCTTCGTGTAGTTTTTTTATGCTTTTAAATGTTTTTATCGCTCTTAGTGCGTCTAGTCCTTCTAAAGGTTTTCTAAATACTATCGGTGTGTATCCGTAATTTACTTTAAACGGTATTTTCTTTATTAACTCGTTTAACGAGCTATTATATATAAACTATATAAATAGCAGGCATTATACCTAATTATCTTATTTATACCCTATATAGTATCGTAGGTACTATTCTAGGACTTGGTTTATAATTTCGGTTTATCCGTCCGTTATAGGGTAAAACGCTATCGAATACTTATATTTTATTCCTAGCTAGCTTATAACTACTTTCTAGAAGTTACTAGTAAAGAGCTTATCTCTATCCGTGATAATTTTATTTAGTACGCCGTAATCCCTAATTAGGCGGTCGATAAAGATACTTACTAGTTCTTCTGCTATAGTGTTTTTAATATATAGAATATAAAGAGTGTATTTCGTGAATCGGTCGATAATCACGAATATACTATTATAGGCGGTTCCTATTACTAGATCTTTGGATACTGGAAATCCTGTCACGAAGTCTATTATAATCGATTTCTATAGTCCGTCTACTACTAGTAGTGGTTTTAGTAGTCCGTAAGGTTTATATCGGCTACTCTTTACTTTCTAGTAAATATCGTAGTTACGAACGAAGTCCCTGACTCGTTCTTTAGTTCCTATGTAGCCGTATTATTAGCGTAATCGGTAGTATATTTTATAAATTCCTTGATATCTATATATCGGCGAGGCGTGTGCTTCTTTAAATATAGTGTCGGTTATCCGATTAATACTATTTACCTCTCTATTCTTCAGAGTAAGAGCTTCTCCTTCCTATTAGAGTATAGCTTACGGTTTAGGTGATTCGTTAGGTATCCTTAGTCGGCTAAGTGCGTTTACGCGACTATTTTCGCTCCCTTTTATATACTGAATATAGAAATTAAATTCAGCTAGGAATTCTACCTATCGGATCTATCGTTTATTAAGAACCTTAGTAGTGGTGAATTACGTAAGGTTCTTATAATCCGTGTAGACCTATACCGGGTATCTTATCCCTGATAGATACGGTCTCTATTCTTTAAAGGCTTCGATAATAGCTATTAGCTCTTTATCGTGGATCTAATAGTTAAGTTCTAGTCTACTAAGTTTCTTAGATATAAAGGCTATAGGGTATAGTCTTCCTTCTACGTCGCGCTATCCGAGTTATACTCCTAAAGCCTAGTCGGATACGTCTGTTTTAAGTTCGTATTCTTTATCGGGGTCTAGTATTACTAAGATAGGTTTGCTAGTAACCCTTCCTTTAAAAGCTTAGAATACTTCTTCTATTCTTTTATTCTATTCGAAGTCGAGTCCCTTTTTAGTTACTTTAGTTAAGGGGATAGTAATCTTACTATAATCCTTAATAAATCGTTAATAGTAGTTTATAAGTCCGAGAAAGGACTAAATATCGCGAATATTCTAGGGTCGTGGCTACTTAGAGACGTATTAGACTTTCGCCTTATCTATGCAGATCTTATTAGGTCGTATCGTATAACCTAAAAAGTTAACTTCTTATATATAGAATTAAACCTTTTCTGGTTTAACTAATAGGTCGGCGTTTTATAGGAGTTATAGGATCGTGTGAATATATTATCGGTATTCTTTAAGTATTTTAGAGAAGATTAGGATATTATCTAGGTATACTATAACGAAGTGGTCTAGATACTTCCTTAGGATATTATTAATAAGTGTTTAGAACGATACCGGCGTATTTATTAGTCTAAAAGGTATAATAAGGTACTCGAAATATCCTTACTTTATCCGAAACGCTATCTTCTACTCTTCTCCTTCCTTAATCCTAATTAAGTTATAGGCTCCTTTTAAGTCGAGTACTATAAACTATTACGCTCTAACTAGCTAATCTTATATTTCTAAGATA